TCCATTCCATTCCATCCCATCCCATCCCATCCCATCCCATCCCATTCTTCTTTTTGACACTTATGATCATTATAGCATGGTCACGTGATCAGAATTTGGCTTCTTGGCAATTGGTTCATATTTAGGACATTTGCAGTGTCCCAAGTTCAGGGGATCCTTTTTTTGTGACCTTCTGACAAGCAAAGTCCCCGAGGAAGCCCAATTCACTCAACCATCACATTGTTCGCTTAGCAAGTGCAGTGATTTACTTAACAACCATGGCAAGAAAGATTGCAAAAGGGGGCAAAGCTCACTAAGCAATTGTCTCACTTAGCGACGGAAGCGTTGACCTATATTCTGGGCCACAAAAGCCAGGTTCCGGCCAAGTTCTTTACAAACTCTGGTTTGTCTTCCACAGGAATTGTCTTTCAGACTTGGTGACTTTAAGGTGTGTGGATTTGGGGTGAACCGCTGGGGAATTCTGTGAGTTAAAATGTACCCATTTCTAAATTCACCAATTTGTAAAAAAAAAAAACAAAGCCCTGTTTTTGAGGAAAAGCTGAAGATTGAAGCTGCAGGTCTCACTACACAAAGCAAGCTGCGCTGCCCCTCAACCAAGGTATCCTCCACCTTCCTCAAATGATCTATTTACCTGTCCCCTCCTCTGTGATTGTGCCCTCCGCGTTGATCTCATTCTGAAATCCACTTCTCTTCAATTGGAATATTTTCAGATCCACCACGTGAGAGAAGCAGCCGTGAATGTCCGCCTGGCATGGGAAATCAGAGAGGAGCAAGTTGCCGTGGCTAATTCTCTTTATTCTTCCTGTTTTCCTCGAGAATCTTCCTAAGGCAGGGGTCCCCAACCACCGGGCCCCAGACCGGTACCGGTCCTTGGAACATTTTCTACCGGGCCGCCGGTTTGCTAGGCACCGCCATCTTGTTTTGACGAGAAAGTGCTTCCGGTGGGCTTTTCCGGTTGGAAAGCGGCGTTTGGGTCCTGAAGGAATCCTCGCGCCTTAGTTTCATGGAAGGGTGGGGGTGGTGGCTTCGAACAAAACTAAGGTGCGAGGATTCTTTCAGCACCCAAGGCAAGGCGAGCCGAGCGACCGTCCCGAAGCCGTCCCGAAGCCCATTGACAAAGGTACAAAGGAGGAGTTAAAGGTGGCGGGGAGAAGCGGGGGGCGGCTGGCTGGCCGGTTGCTCGGCTCGCCTTGCCATGCGTGCTGATGCCAGTACTGGGCCGCGGATCATTTTGTGATGCCGGTACCGGGCCGTGGCACAAAAAAGGTTGGGGGCCACTGTCCTAAGGTAAACCTTCTCAGACTGTCTCCTGGAGGGATCATTCGCGGCCTGCAACTTGGCCCAGACGATCTACTAAAAAAACTGCTGGAAAACTTTGGGGCTCAACTTCGACTTAACATTTCAGACTATAACCGAGAAGCCATTTTGACCATCCAGGTTAACAAGGGTATGTTCACTTTTTATTTCAGAATCAGAATTGGAATAGAGCTGGAAGGGACCTTGGAGGTCCTTTAGTCCAGCCCCTTGCTTAAGCCCCTGAAGGCAGGACAAGAAGCAACAAATGGAAACTCATCCAGGAGAGAAGCAACCTGGAACTGAAGAGAAATTTCGTCAGAGAGAGAACAATTATCACGATACAAATCGTGGCATGGTTTGCTTCCAAAAGTGGAGAGAGCACCAACATTGAACAAGAAATTGGACTTTCCCTCTGTCTGAAATGTTTATCGGGTTTCCTATTGGAGCAGAAGGTTGAATTAGAAGACCTCCAAGGCAGTGGCGGGATTCCACCAGTTTCCCCACCGTCGGTGATCGCACACTTTGTGCGGGCGCACGCACACGCTCCTAACCCGCGTGCGCAGCTCTCCAAACACCAGCTGAGGCTCTGCCGCGCGCCCATCAGCTGAGGGGATAAAGAACAGAAAAGCGCTGGGGCGGGTGGGATCCTACGCTTTTTCTCTTCTTTCGCTGATCGTCAAGCTACAGGTTCGGCCAAAGCGATCGTAATTTTTGCTACCAGGTCGCCTGAACCAGGCCAAACCAATAGCATTTCACCACTGCTCCACAGTCCCTTCCGACTATTTTTATGTTATTGTGGAAATGTGTTTTTAAAGCAGACTCTTGAAAATACGACCGAGTTTTTCCTTCCCTCCTCCTTTATACTAAAGAAAATCAGAGTTGGGCAAGCTTGAGTTTCTTCCTCACTGTCTCCTCCCTTCCAAGCCTAAAATCTGATTTTAATCCTCTTTCACAGCCTAAAGTCCCAATTGTGAAATGGGTGGCCATATAAGCTGTATATACATTTTAAATAAATAAATGTGCAAACATGCCGGTGTTTGTAGAACGGCTGTGGAATGTCTTCTTCAATATCATGTCTTTGTTCCTCCATACCAGTATTTCTTAACCCCAGTAACATGAAGATCTGTGGTCCTTGATGCTCTCTGAGTCTGGTTGCTTTTTTGCAAACAGATTAACAGAGTTGGAAGGGACCTTGTAGGTCATCTAGTCCAACCCCCCCACCCAAACAGGAGACCCTACATCCTTTCTGACAGATGGCAGTTCAGTCTCTTCTTGAAAGTCTCAAGTGAGAAAACTCCCACAATTTCTGACAGCAACTTTTGTTCCATTGGTTGATTGTTCTCACCGTCAGAAAGTTTCTCCTTATTTACAGGTTAGATCTCTCCTTGTTCAGTTTCCATTGTTCAGACATTTCACTACCAAACTGGGTGACATCATCAGAGCTAAGAGGGCACAGGATTAAACGAGCAGTTCCACCCTGAGAGCTGCAATTATTCTCTTCTGTTGGTACTTGAAGATGTGTGGACTTCAATTCCCAGAATTCGCCAGGAAGCTTGGTTTAAAATGGGTGGACTTCAACCATCTGACCAAGTTGCTGGGAATTCTGGGAGTTGAAGTTCACACATCTTCACGTTGCGGAGGTTGAACAATGCTGCTCCATGCATTCCCTTGAGACAAATGTTGTCCCTGATTGTGTGAACCCCATGGGGACTCCAGCGGTTGAGGAATCTTCACAAGCCCTGTTCAAAAGGTCTCTGCTATAACTTTTGGGACTCACCTCTCCACTGAATTCCTCACAGACAGCTTTGGACTCTTCGCCATAACACGAGCTTCTGAAGTGGGAAAATTTCCGGCAAACCCTGATTCTGACTAAACCAGGAACTGGCTTCCCATAGGTGTACCTGTGACCAGAAACAACCAAAAGATTAGGAAAAAAAATGAGACGATTGGTACAAGCAGCACCCTGGCTAAAGAGGAAAAGGGTGGGAGGAAAGGGAAGCCAATTACAACAGGTAGTCCTCGACTTACAACCACCATTGAGCCCAAACTTTCTGTTGCTAAGTGAGACATTTGTTAAATCTTTGTTGGGGGTGGTCAGTAAATGAATCTATTGACTTCAGTGGGCCTTTTTTTTTGCTGGAAGCCAGAAATAAATGTTGGTTTCTATCAAATAAACATCATAATTCATGGTCACAAGACCACGGCTGGCACAGAAGGAGACGGGGGTAAGGGAAATCGCCAATGTGAAGAATGTCTGTCAGAAAAATAATAATAATCCTGGCTTTGAATAAGAAGAAAAGAAAGTCAGATCGCTGCCACTTACTTGCCGCAGGCGGTGACTTCCAGTTCCTTGTCCAGAATTGTTATGACTGGGGCGGTCTTGACGACAACTTCAAACTTGGGCAACACTACAAGGAAGAATGAAGTACCAGGATAAAATCAGAATTTTTAAAAAGGAAAAAAAGAGAAGTGGGGGGTGGGTGGGAAAGCCAGAATGCACTCTTGTCTCTGCTTCATTATGACCTCCTTCCCACAGCCATGGAGTCAAGATGCAGCTTAGTTTTGGGATTGTAAGATGTCCAGAGTTATTGACTGAGATGGGCAGCTAACGAAAAGAAGGGAGGGAGGGAGGGAGGGAGGGAGGGAGAAAGGAAGGAAGGAAGGAAGGAAGGAAGGAAGGAATTAGTTTCAGCAATGAGTTTTGGGAAGGAAGGAAGGAAGGAAGGAAGGAAGGAAGGAAGGAAGGAAGGAAGGAATTAGTTTCAGCAATGAGTTTTAGGAAGGAAGGAAGGAAGGAAGGAAGGAAGGAAGGAAGGAAGGAAGGGGGAGGGAAGGAAGGAAGGAGGGATGGAAGGAAAGAAAGGAGGGAGGGAGGGAGGAAGGAAGGAATTAGTTTCAGCAATAAGTCTTGGGAAGGAAGGAAGGAATGAATTAGTTTCAGCAATGAGTTTTGGGAAGGAAGGAAGGAAGGAAGGAAGGAAGGAAGGAAGGAAGGAAGGAAGGAAAGAGGAGGGAGGGAGGGAAAGAAGGAAGGAAGGAAGGAAAAGGAAGAAGGGAGGAAGGGAGAAAAGAAGGAGGGAGGGAGGGAAGGAAGGAAGGAAGGAAGGAAGGAAAAGGAAGAAGGGAGGAAGGGAGAAAGGAAGGAGGGAGGGAGGGAGGGAGGGAGGGAAGGAAGGAAGGAAGGAAGGAAGGAAGGAAGGAAGGAAGGAAGGAAGGAAGGAAGGAAGGAAGGAAGGAAGGAAGGAAGGGAGCCTGGCTGGGGAATTCTGAGAGTTAAAGTCCACAAAGTTTGGAGACCCCTGATCTAAGTAAACAGCTCAAATCCCCACTCCTAACCTGTCCATCATTTACAATACGTCTTCCCCCACCCCACCCCCCAAAATCAGTCCCGTAAAAGATATAACCCAACAACCACCGTTCCATCTCATTTGGGTGTGGACAAGTCGGGTGCCAAGACACTGACTTCATCTTACCGTATTCCTCCACCGTAAAAGAATGTTGAACGTTACTTTCAGAATCCTTCTGAACCACCACTTTGTAGGTGCCTAAGGCAGGCTCGGAAGCCAAGGGAAATTCCAGCTGGACCAGGCCCCCCTTCAGATCCACATCTCTCCATTGGAACAACCGGTTTCTCTTGGGGTCCTGTAAGTGCCGAGGAAGCAGGGACATAAAATGTAAGGAAGCAAGTTTTGCTCTTGTTAATTTCAAACAATCCAGATTCCAAAACCTGTAACCCTTTCTGGGTGCTCTCCTTTAACAGATAACAGACAATCAGAGTTGGAAGAGACCTTGTGGGTCATCTAGTCCAACCCTCTGCCCAAGCGGGAGACCTTACGCCATTTCTGACAGATGGGAGTCCAATCTCTTCTTGAAAGTCTCAAGTGATGATGCTCCCACAACTTCCGAGGACAACTTCTGTTCCATTGGTGGATTGTTCTCTCTGTCAGAAAAGTTTCTCCTTATTTCTCCTTGTTCAGTTTCCATCCATTATTCCTTGTCTGTCCTTCGGGTGCTTTAGAAAATAGCGTGACCCCCTTCCTCCTCCCTGTGGCAGCCCCTCAAATATTGGAAAGCTGCTATCCTGTCTCCCCTGGTCCTTCTCTTCACTAGCCAGGCCCAGTTCTTGCAACCGTTCATCGTATGTTTTAGTCTCCAGGCCCCTAATCATCCTGGTTGCTCTTCTCTATGGTTGGTGCCAAATGCCCAGAGCGAAGTCATATGACTGCAGAGGGAACGCTAATGTCAGAACTTCAAACCTGGGTCATAAGTCTGTGGTA